GAGATTACCCTTATCACAGAAGGCAGAAAGCCTCTTTTAAGAAGTTGGTTGGGTGTGTAATCTCAAGGTTCACACTTGAGAAGTGAAATTGCCCAGGACTATATTGATTACACTCTATCCCTGCTGCTCATAGCAAAGAACTTAGATGGAAAAGATCCCAACTGATGTCTTTTGCTAACAGGTAGCAGGTATACTACGGGTCTATTTCTATGAGGGTCTGCACAGATAATATGTCCTTTCCCTAGGTTTATTATGAAGGGAGAAAAAAAAAAAAAAGGATTTATTTATTTATTTATTTATTTATTTATTTATTTTTATCAATAGAGGAAGGTATTCAGAGTAGCTCACAGGATAGATAATTCTTGAGCCTCTTTCATTTCTACCAGAATAAATTTAACAAGTATCTGTGGGCACCACAGTGACCAGCACTTTACAAAGCCCCTCTTTGGGTCCTGCGGCCTCACTCTCCTCATGTTCCTTGCGATGGTCATTTGTGGCATTGTCGTGACTAATATGGATCCTGTTCATTTTACTTCTCTCATGCGCCTCTAATGAGGAGAACAAAGACCTAAAATTACTTAAGCATTTTTTTTTTCTAGTTCCTGGCTTAAACACAGTTGAATTCTATAACATGATACAAATAGACTTGGAATGCTGTGTTTTGCTAACCAGCACTGTAAAGAGAGTTGATTGTGATGGAGAGTGTCAGAGAAGTCTTCACTGGGGAAAGGAAATTGCAGCTGAGCTGGGAAGGTTGCGCACAGAGTCATGGTTGAGATGAACACTATGTGTGTGGGGAGGCCGGGAGGCTAATATGAGACAGGTCTGCATTTGGGAGAGTACAGTACAGGCTGAGATTATGGAGTTCCTCCAAAGCCAGTTAGACTTAATGTGATAGGTTTGGCAAGAAGCACTTGAAAATTACTTGAGAGTTAAGATTAAAAGGGTAATTACAAGAAGTCTGGAAGTCGCAGGGTTGAGGGGTAATGTGTGTGAGGGAGGGTAGCAGGGAACCTTCTTTCTTACAGACTTTGTGCCCGTGTAAAGGGACGTCAATTAGACTAACACTCTTGCCTCTCTCCCTCCTTTGTACCCTTCACTCCTGGGAGGTGTGACTTACAGGCAGACTTAGGAGGAACAGGCATTTAGAATTTGGTCTCTCTCACAGGAGAACTAATTCTGGTTGCTCCTACAAGGCCAAACTGGAATTTGGAGTTACCATGTAGCACCAGGACACTGGTGAAGGGTTTGGTGACCCAAAAAGGTTAAACTGGTAACTGAAATGGCGGACTAGACTTGGGAGCCTGTTTAGTTTGATTAAGGTGGTGGCCATGAGAATGGAAACTTTTTTTTGAGAACTGATAGAGGAAATAGTAGCAAAAGGGGAACTCTTTGGTGACAGTCATAAGCTAATTGAGTCCTTCCCTAAAGAAGACAGATCTTTGGTGAGTGGGCAGTACAGAAATGACTCAGGTGCCGGGGGGTGGGGGGGGGGGGGGAGGAAGATGGCCCTCTTCCTCTTCCGTTGGCAGTATTATTGTCCTTAAAGCACAGCACTGGCTACCGTCAGACGAGGAGGAGAGGAAAAAGGGTCTTCACCCCGAAAGCCCTGTTGAAAGTGGAAAGTGATGGGTAACAAAGAGCTGTTTTGTTTTTCTGTGTGTGTGTGTGTGTGTGTGTGTGTGTGTGTGTGTGTGTGTATGTGTGTATTTTTCAATGAGGAATTACTGTCTTGTGGTCACAGGATGAAATTTATAGGCACAGCAATTCATTTTGATCATTGTTCTCTATTTCACGGAGGCATCACAATAATCTTTGTCAGTGGTCCCATCTGAAGTTGGGATATTAGTTAATTTGTGATATTAATAATTTGTGATATCAGTTAAGATAGATATTATATTTGTAAAATTGAACACTTTATAATCGTGTGTGTAGGTTAATTATATTAGTTGAAATGATATGGTCTGGGGAAACAAAAGCTGAACTATAATATTAATGAAGCTTATATTTAAATATATAACTTCTATTTTGTCAATGGAAAAAAAATATTAAAAATTAAACTTCAGCCGAAACGGGTTTGGCTCAGTGGCTAGAGCGTCGACCTACGGACTAAAAAGTCTCAGGTTCAGTTCCAGTCAAGGGCATGTACCTTGGTTGCGGGCACATCCCCTGGGGAGTGTGCAAGAGGCAGCTGATCGATGATTCTCTCTCATTGATGTTTCTAACTCTCTATCCCGCTCTCTCCCTCTCTGTAAAAAATCAATAAAATATATTTTTAAAAAATTAAACTTCATCAGATCTAGTAGAAAATAGCAGTTGTTAGAGAAATGGTAGTTCTCCAGTGCTCTACGATCAAAGATAATTAATACTTCACACCCCAAATAATAATGTCTGATATAAACAGGCGCTCCAGAGAGGAATACACTGCCCAGGGAAGAATTTTCTGATCACATTTGCTTTCTTGATGCTTCTTTTCAAGAAAATACACTACAAACTCTGCCCTTAAGTACGGGCCATTTCCTATGACTAATCCCCCTTCTTCTGTATCCAGGTGCTATACCTCTTTAGAAAGGTCTGAGCCGAGGTAGGGAAAATGACTGAAACAGTGCATTTCTTACCCCTCACTCTGCATCAGGAAGGTGAGGGAACTTTTGAGACTCCCTCAGAAGATTTCTTACCTAGTTCACCCCGGGACTTCTCAGCCGCCACCCTCGCTGGCACAGTTAGAAAGAAGTGAAGATTTAGTCAGGTTTGCTACTCGTTTGGACCCAATTAGTGTAGAATTTCTAGTTCATGGTAGTCATTGTAAAAAGCTCCCGAGCAGGAAAGAAAAGGAGAGGAAAATTCCGAGCTAACGCGACAGAGGTGATTTTTATTGTACTCAGGGCTGTGTAGCTGAGCCGCTGGGCAGGAGGGACGGGGATGGAGGGTCGCTTGGTTAGGAGTCTTATGGAAAAGGTGGAGCTCTCATCAGTGCTGGTGGAGATGAGAGGGGAGAGGCGGCAGCAGTGTCTAACAGCACTGCTGGCCTTACTGCAGTATCAGAGCAGAAAAGTAACCTGGGAACAGGCATCCATTATCTCTTCCTACAAAGGGATCAGTGTGGGTTGCCAGAAACCAGTGGCTTTTGTGCTAGCACAGAAATACAAATGAATGTCAGGACCAGAGATGTAAAGCAGGTGAAACAGGCTCTTCCCTGCCTCATTTCTTTCCTTCTCTCTCTGGTTTGCTATTTTAAGATCTAGATCTGTGTTCCTCGGCTTTTGTTCAGCCAAGATCAGAAATCATGCCCTTTGGGAGTGAAATTTGTCCTCTCTTGGGGATGAGTCAGTTAGCTTATGACTGTGTCCAATGTGTGTCAGCAAAGAGGTTGAGAAACATGTGAGAAATAAGTCTCTACCAGAGAGGACTGCTCCTTCTAGCAGGGTTATCATTTCCATGCCTGATACAAGTAATCTCCCAAATAATGTCCTCTTTTATTAAATATCAAACTTGTTTGTGTTTAGTCATTGATTAGAGATGGCATGATCAGATAAACAGGCGGAAGGGAATTATACCCACTATATGCTGGGCATTGTGCTAGAAGCTTTATTTCTAATTCAACAAGTTCTTCTAAAGCTCCTACTAGGTACCAGGTAGCCTATCTAATAAAGAGGGAATGTTCTAATTAACCCTCATGCCATCGCAAAGATGGCGGCGCTCACAGCCAATAAGGAGGGAATATGCTAATTGACTGCCACGCCCTCAACAATGGCAGCACCCAGTCCCCGGCGGGGCAGCAGGCGCAGCAAGGCTGGGTCCGACCTGAGGCCATCCTGGCTGCTCCGTGCACCTGCCTCCGGAGTCCCCCAGTCCCATTAGCTCCCCAGCCACCCAGGGCTGGCTCGAGGCACAGGCAAGCCTGGGATGATGGCTTCCCAGCCGCCCACAGCTACCTGAGGCTCAAGTAACCAAGGCCAGCTGAGGCTTACGCTTCTGGCAGGGGCAGCAGCATAGGTGTGATGGGTGTTGCCTTCCCCTGATTGCTAGATCGCTTTCCACCCTTGGACTCTGAGAGGGGGCTGGCCAGGCTGAGGGATTCCCCCATCTTCAATGTATGAATTTTCATGCACTGGACCTCTAGTTGCATTATAAATGGTTCTGATACAGCTTGATAAGAACCCATGGAAGAGGATTTAAATATATAACTGATCCTGATCCTGGGGTGTGCATGTGCAGGCAGTGGATGGGAATAGTGAGTGGGGGGGGGGGATTGAGTACAAAGCCCCCTGCTGGAAGAGGGGGTAGTTGAGTGAGGACAAGTGTCTGGGAGCTGGTGGGAAGGAGCTTTGTGAGTGGAGGGAACAGCATAAGCACAGTTGAGCTCAGAGGTGAGAACTCTTATCTAAGAGACCTAAGGAGAGAGCTTGACCTAATGAGTCAAGTCTGGAGAAGCAGCTCTAAGAGGGAGGCTCATGAACTGGCCTTGAAGACTAACAGGGCATCTGAGAAGCAGAATCGGTGAGCAGCGCACTCCTGCTCGGTCCTTTCTGTCGGCCCTGCCTGGCTTCAGCACCTGAAAGATGAGGATTAGCAGGGAGTCAGGCCAGGTGGCAGGAGGAACATTGTGTCTCGTGTATTTTGGACTCTGCAGAACGTTACCTAGAAAACAAGAAATCCTGGCACAGGGTCTCGGGGCACAGAGAGTCACATGCTCCCGAGTATTTCTGTTTTCCACACAGACTTCTGCACGTCACGTTTGCTCCCTGATTCTTACTCTGGTACTTTTTATTCCACCCTAGTTACGTTTTTTTGGACCTGCGATTTCCCCAGTGACATCAAGACTATCTTATAATTCTATTACCTCCCCTGTGCTGAGTTTGAACTGGAAAGGTATCCACTCCTGGTCCCCTTGGTTTCTCGCACCTGCCTTCTCATCTCACCCGATTTATTTGTATGAACGAAGGAATCCATGGCTCTTTTGGTCTTTTTTTTTTTTTTTTCTTTTCTTTTCTTTGTAGAACACAAGCAGGCATTCCCCAACATTCTGAAGAAAGGCTACCTGGAGGTTAGGAAGGACCCCGACAGCTGCTGGCAGAGCTGCTACGCAGAACTCTCCCCTTACGACCTGCGCTTCTACAACCGCGACGGCAGCGGGAACCAGAGCCTGTCCTCCACGTACCCGCTCTCCCACTTCCAGAGCATCTCCGTGCTGGGCAACCCGGAGGCCAGGCTGGTGGACACCGTGCTGTCCGACAACACGCAGCTGCAGCTGAAGGCGGAGTCCCCGTGGGAGGCGTTGGACTGGGGGCAGAAGCTCTGGGAGGTGGTCCATGCCGCCGTGCCCGGCGACGTGGGGCGGCGGGACGAGCTGGCAAACTCGCCGGGGCCCGGCTGTCGCTTTGACTGCACACAGAGCCATTGTTTCCAGAAGCCCAGCGTGCCGCTCGCCCGGGCCCCCGTCGGGGACGGCCCCAGACAGCGCCAGGACGTGCTCAAGTCTGGGACGCTGTACCGGCTCACCGTGCAGAACAACTGGAAGGCGTTCACGTTCGTGCTGAGCAGGGCCTACCTCATGGCTTTCCAGCCCGGCAGGCTGGACGAGGACCCGCTGCTGAGCTACAACGTGGACGTGTGCCTGGCTGTCCAGATGGACGCCCTGGACGGTTGCGACTCCTGCTTTCAAGTCATCTTCCCCCAAGACGCCCTCCGCCTCCGGGCAGAGACACGACAGAGGGCCCACGAGTGGATGGAAGCTCTGAAAACGGCAGCCAACGCGGCGAGGAGCTCCGAGCAGAACCTGCAAGTCACCCTGAGGAACAAGCCCCAGGACCCGACGGGGGGGCACGAGCTCAGGAAGAGCAAGCGGCAGTCCGTGACCACCAGCTTCCTCAGCATCCTGACCACGCTGTCCCTGGAACGAGGGCTCACCGCCCAGAGCTTCAGATGCGCAGGTAGGAAGCTGCCTCTCGGCCTAACGCTCGCTCGTTGCACAATGCTGAATCTCACCGTTAGAGTTCGGTTTAAAAACGCCCCCCGGCAGGCCAGCCACAGCTCCCCGCAGTTTAACAAGCTGTATTAGAACGTCTGTCTGTCTTCCCGCCATGCTGGGAAAGTAAGTATAGAAGCAGAGATGAGAGACCCCATTGGCTCACAGTGGCTTGGCCAACCTTTGCCTCAGTAGACGAGGCCTCCTGCGCCGGCCGGATTCTGTTTCCTCCGCCTCCTGAAACCAGGGTCACTGAGTGTGGAGGCCACGGTGGTCTCCTAAGAGACCTTCAGCCCCAGAGCTGACAACTGACATTCTTAGACAAGGAGCATGTCCATGGTCAGTCATTGCCATGGCTCATGACCTTGTCAGATCCTGTTAAGGTGGAATCTACGGAGTCAGCCTGGACAGAAATGCGGATGGGGGGTGGGGGGGCGGTGACTAAGCAGATGACCTCTGAGTCACGATGGGCCTGTGCCTCATCCTGGGGAAGTGGGGGCCTCTGGAACCGCTGTGGAAGGTGAGAGATGGTGGAGTCACAGCTCATCATCTATTTAACACCCTGTCCCTGCTTCTCTCCCCTACTCCCCGGTCTCTCACCTTCCCCAAAGCAGTAAGCCTAATCAGTATGCCTTTTGCTAAACCCCCCTATTTATGACGAGAATTGTCTCTGCTTTCCCTGGAGGGCCTCAGGGCTGCAAGCAGAAGCTTGCCTGTGGGGTTGGAGCCGAACTGGGTGATGAGCACATACACCCACAGGCGCAGGCGGGGAAGGCCTGTCGTGAGCCAGCCTTTGGCTCTGGGAAATGGTTTTGAAATAAGGAGACACTGGTGTTACTGCAGTTCCTTACAGATGATTGATCCTTCGGCATTTGATTATACTAGTTAATGGAGTATATTTCAAAGTCCCGGCATTCGACAGTAATTTACTGAGAGCTTGCTTTGTGCACATTCTGGAATTACAGCACACGTTTCCAGTTTTAGATCGCTGACAGGTTCAACAAATGAGCTTGTCATTGCAGTCAGGGAGAACAGTTCAGGTTAGCTCTCAAACGTGAGCAGCTGAACTGGAAACTTTCTGGTAAAAGGGGAAGAAAAGCCGCAGGTGCAACATAAGGATTGTCACCTGGTTGTTGCCTAATTCACCTCCCTCTCGTGAGTTTGCTTCCCGGGGCGTGAGCGCTGTTTTGTGTGAGGGGAGAGATGCCAGTGGAGGGTACCATGCTGCAGGCAGCGCGTAAATGAAGCAGGAAGAGACCAAGGTGAGTGGAGAGGTCGGAGGAGGATGCCAAGTAGAAGAGAACAGGAGAAGGACTAGATAATGGGCAGGGAGGAACTTGGGGTGGCTGCTTTGGGTGCCATGTATTTGGGTGCCCCCCTTGGCTGTGCTCCCTACAGTTGGTTGGTTGGTGTGTAGGTGGATGGGTGGCAGTGAGGAATCCGGGAGACAGGTAAGGTGGTCTAAAACTCCTTTGCTCTGCTCAGCACTTACTTTCAGGTTTTGGTTTGGAGTTTTAATAGGGCGCAGGCGGGATTTTAATTTGGGGTGGGGAAATGTCAGTCCTAATCTGTGTAGTGTGGCCAGGCCCCAAGCCCAACATTTTCATCCTGTTTCTTTGTGCTCTCTTCCATCAGAAACTGCTATGCATGGTTGCTCTGTGACAGGAGTGGTTGGTTTCCTTTTCCCTCTCTGCCTGCGCTTCCTCCTCAGGTGGGAATGCCTCATCTCCTGCAGGGGGCAGAGTCTCAAAAGAAAAAGGCAGAAGCTTGTGAAGCAAAACTCCGAATGTTTTTTAAATTACTTGGGAGGCCGTTCATTATATCAGGGATTATTATAGCAGATGGAACTTTAAAAATTGATCTATGTTTCTCACAAACACAGTTAATCTAAACCAGCTGCTTCTCCGTGTAGCACTTGTGTTCCTCAGCTCTGCGTTCTCATAAAAACACTCACTGGGTGAAAAAGCTGGTTCCATAGCGTGTTTACCTTCCGGAGGGCCGGCAAGTCCAGTCGGTTGTTTGTAGTTGAGTCTTGGCTTTGCCTGTTATTTTAAGGAGAAGCTAATTCACAATATTTCATGGTTTCAGTGAGCCTCTTCAGACTGTAAGTTTTTTACGTCCACTGAATCCCTCCCCCCTGTGAATATTTTTGATGAATAAGCCTTAAAAGCGGAAGATTGCACTTGAGTAGCTCTTTATTGATGATGTCATTCCGTTGCTATTCAGGGGAGCCACAATCGTTGGCTTTCGAATCTACAAAATAGAGCAGTTGGCCTTGTTGCACTAAATTCTTTCTGTAGGTGAAGAATTTTCGATATTCTTCCAAACTTAAAGTGCCCCTGCAGAGAAAATGGATCACAACCACCCAAAAATGTCTGAGGTTATGGTTTTGAAAATGCATGCTTATGTATGACTGCATAGTCCTTAGCATGCGCTTGAACTTTTTATAGTTGCATTTGGTTACGTGCGGTTTGGTCCGCGACTTCCCCTCAGCTCCGGGGCCGGCCACGGTGGTCTTCTCGCCGTTCTGGAACTTGCCTTGGCCAGTCCCGTCTCCACAGCCTTTACCCGTGCTCTTCCCTCTTCCTGAAAAGATGCCTTGGGAAGTGAACTTCTTCCATTCTGTCATCCACTGTGTTATAAGCCTCTGACCACGTGCCATGACATGAGTGCACCTGGGCACGTCCGTGCTGCAAGGCGGTGGCGCGGGCCCTGCTCACATGGGACGTGCATTCCACCAGGGAAGCCGACATTACCTATATCATCACTTCATGCATGCCCAACGGCGACTGAGACAGGAGCTCCAGAAGGCTGGCCCGGCCGGGGCTCGAGACCTGTCAGAGGCATGCCAGGTGGATGTAGGAAATCGCAGATATTGGTCGCCCTACAAAACCCGGGCAGCTTGGCGAGGCTGGACCTGGTGTCGGCCCCAGCAGCTGCAGGAGGTTCTGGGCAGGGAGCGGGGGGGGGACAGCGGTGTTTGGGGAGAATTTGGTGGCGCTTCAGTGCAGCTTTTCAGAAACACCTACCCCTGCAGCAGCAGATGTGGCCCACGTGGTTAGGGATGTTGCCGGCTGGGACTCAGAATTGCGTTTGGCAGTGGGGAATGTGCGCTATTAAAATATTAATGCTAAGACAATGATTATGCGGCTTATTAAAATATTTATAAAGCAGGTACCTATAAGTGCTTCTCAGTTGGGCTGCTCACGGAGAGCTGTCATGTAAGGCAGCAGCGGGCCTGTTGTCCTCGGGAATCCGACATGTGTACATGCCGGCTTCCCCTCAATAGATAAGGCTTGCTTGGCACTAGCACACAGAGATTTTCTCCAGAAATTTCCCCCAATCAAGAAACCTCGCCGTTGAGTCCAGAACCATCCATAAAAGGGCCCAGGGCCCTGCTTAGGCTGCATCAGGGAGACCAAAGCTCGCCTTGGAAAGCGGCCTGTCCTTACTGCTTTGTAACGGGGAAGTGAAATCGGATGGCCCACAGTGGGGCAATGTTCCTGATTCTGAGGTTGACAAGGAAGAGGCTGCCAGAAAGAGGGAGCCCTGGGGACCCCTCGCCATTGTCACTCTGTCAGTTTGCATGGGTTTGCTTCTCCCGCTGCTGTTTAACCTCTGGGGGCTGCTGTTGGTAATTACGTCTCTCTGGCTTTAAGAGCTTTTTGCTTTCCTCCTCCTGACACCCCCCTCCCCCCAGCCTTTGGGAGGGGTAAACCCAAGGTGGGGAGGGTGGGGGAAAGTTTTGCTGTGAATTCTTCAGCCATTTAGTGCAAATTCCTGTAATTACCGGCATTGTGTCCTCCCTGAATGGCACATAATACAGCAGAAGCCATTCCTAATTGAGACCTTACAGGAGGTACAAATCCTCTCTTTGTTCAGCCTGACAAATTAGTGCCAGAAAGTGGCAGGGTCCGAGTGGGAATCAAAGGCAAGAAACACAAAGATGGAACTTAAGGCTACAGTAATAATCCTCTCTTGTCCTGAGGGGGAAAAAGGAATGACCAGTGAAAAATGAAGTTTTTTTGTTTTGTTTTGTTATAAATTCCCTTGACATGACAGCACCTCGGGGCTGCTCTATTTATTTAGCAAAAGTGATTAAATAGTAATACGACAGGGCCGCCCATTGTCTGCCCGGGCCCCCACCTCCCAGACCCCTGCTGCCTCGGCTAATTGATTGACAATGAACTTCTGATAAAGAAGTATGTTGTTAGGACCTGAGGGGGGGGGAACACTTTTTCCCCTCTCTTTGTGTGTCTGAGTGTGTGTGTGTGTGTGTGTGTGTGAGAGAGAGAGAGAGAGAGAGAGAGAGAGAGAGAGAGAGAGAGAGAGAGAGATTTCATTTTTGTTTGAATTGCCCTCTGGTTTTTCTTTGCCCCCTCCCTCCCCCCGCCTTGCTTTCTTTCCCCCAAAGCCTTTCAGACTCGCTCCCAGCTGACATTCACAAACAGGTAGAGAGGCATTAGTATTGTGGTGCAAGCTTTTGACAAGTTTATCTTTGGAGCCAACTTCCTCCTCTCCCCCTGCTCCATGTAAGGCAAAACCGCCGGGTGAGAAGAGGGAAAGAGGAAGGGGGGCTGATTATTGGTGCTTTAAGGTAAAAAAAAGTGTTGTTTTTAAGTTTCTCATTGGTGGGAACGGATGTCTGAAAGTTGTCTTTAGATTTTTTTTCCTCTTAAATTCATTACTCAACTTGGGAAAGAAAATCTGTGCACTAATAGCGTGGATATGTTGGGGGTGGGTGTTGTGGAGTAAGAAATAGACATTTGAATTATTCAGTCTCCCCTCAGTTCCTGCGAAATGGGGATTGATTATTTAAGGATGGAATCTGGCTGCACGTGGTGTAACTCGGTACTCCGAGGATGCTGTAAATCGTGGGGAGATGACCAAAGCCCTCCAGGCAGATAAGTAATAGCTCCTGGTTGTTACTTGTTATATATGCTCAACTAGCTCCACCGGAGCTAA